TTATTATCTGTTATGGAATTGAAGCTTAATAATCGATATTTTGTATAATTTAGAAAACTTTGAGAATAATTATAGGTTACTAATATAGCTGAAACCGATTAGTTATTTATTTGTTTGTCTTGTGTAACTGATTGTTTGCTTTTACAGCTTTAAGTACATGAGAATAAACTGGAATGATTAAATGATTCAGTTGTGCTTCATTGATGTATATTTACTGACTGTCTTGCGTGATTTACGGTTAATTTATAAAATTAAAAATTAATATGTAAACGAAAAATTAATTAGTTATGTGAATTAATGAATGATTGTCTTACTGGATATCTTGAAATATGGTGGATTGACCGGGTACATACGGAACGCTACCAGAAATATTGTTTCGTACTGGATAGGATATTGAGGAATGGTATTTTTGTCACTCATATCGGACGGGGTATGCGGACGGCCCGATTCACCTCATACCGGACGGGATATTGAGGAATTGTATTTTTGGCGCTCGTATCGGACGGAGTATGGGAACGGTCGATTAGTTGACAATGTTGGATATTAATTCACGCGTAGTAAGACATCCTTATAGACCCCCAGGAGAATATCAGTAGGCAGATAAAAAAAAAGTTGTTGTTCTTGCTCACTTAAATATGATATTATAATGTTATTTAAGTTATTATCTCTATAGGTCGATTTTAAAAATCTCGCAACGGTAAATATATGCAATAAATAGTTTTCCTTATGATAAATGAATTTACCTAAATCAAAAGCTCCATTTGTTGTTTTTATGATTGTTACAAACTTCCAGTTTCTGTATTGGTGACTAGTGTGATGTTCTTATTGGGTTAGTGTAGCTCACCATTTCATTAATTATTTCAAATTAAGAAGACCAATACCCATATTCCGATCAACAAGATGATTGTTAATAGTTTACTACCCGAACTCCTTTCAAAAGCTAGTGAAAATCGTTCTAAAATGTTCATTATATTGTTTTTTGTTTTTTTTTTTTTTCGTTTGTTCTTTTAGAATGGAGATTCTCGTAATCCGATTGAGCATTCTAAATTATTGTGTAAGGAATGTAAAATCTAAACTTTATTATTTCACTTCCGCACTTAATTTACGATTTTTTTTCATTTTAAGATTGGGTTCTTTGCAACAAAAAAAAAATGTGTTATAATTAATGCGGAAGCGTCATATAATTAGTAAATATATTTATAATAAGTTTGTAATTAACTATTAATTAATTCAATATATAATAATAATAATAAATTACATATTAAAACCATGAAGTAATTAGGGTATAAATAAAAACTAATTTGCAGGTTATACCTGGGGAGGAAGTATATTCTCCTCCAAAATCCACTCAGCCCCGTCTTGATATATAACTTACAAAGGAAAGATTAAGATTAAGATTAGCTACCTCCCTACATCTCTTCACACCAATTAATTATTATAATATTCATCACTCATGTTATTAGTAAATCTTTTTAATAAGAAATCTTGATGGGATATTCACTGTAGAAATTTTTAATTACACAATTAAGAAACCATGTCCGCAATGCATACTTTTAAGACATGATAATAACTTTTTAGAGTTGGTAGGGGAAAAACGATACAAATCTCATTCAATCATATTTTTTTTATAACTTTCAATTTTCAA